TTAGGATCAAAATAGAAAAGCTACAATTCTATTCTGTAGTTTATATTTAGCAAAAAATATAAATAAAAATATTTGCTCTGTTTTAGTTCTGCAACCTAAGTTTGTATATTTTCTATTTTCTGATATATACCATTCGTATCAACGGGTTTAGTTGTGCATATTGTATGTCAGATCTTTCCGGGGAATTAAGAACTTTTGAGCTGACTGTTTTTACTCTTATCATTAAACATATAACTGTAAAGAACGTAAAAAATACAAATTCATGCAGCTTTTTTTTTTCTTTTATTTGGTAGTGTTTCTTTCAAAATAAAAACCTAATAATAACCCTAAGTTTAACTGTTCGTTTAAATAATCAAATAAATCTGCACATCTGTTATACAGCTCAGTAAATCAGCAAAAAAAATTAAAGATGAGACTTATTAACCAAACACATTTTGAACTGCTAATTACTGTAGAAAAGCATTAAGTAATCATAAAAAAAAGAAGAAAACGTAATGAAAAGTTGATTTTCCTAAAATGGTTAAAAATTACTGACAGTAGTTTTAACAGAAAAGAACTGTATTCAGACGATATTTGCTTGTTGTGTAACCATTTTTTTTCTAGATGGTTTATGTTCAAATACCCTTCATATCAATCCCATTTCTAAACGATAATTAATCGCCTATTTTAATGAAAAAAAATTTAATGAATACAACAAATTTTAATTGTTTGATAGCTTACAGACAGTTATTTTGCAGTTAATTGCCGATCAGTTGTTAAACAGTTACAAATTGTGTAGTTTTAGTTGCTGCCAAAAAAAAAACAAGTTACGGTTCAAAAAACTGTAACTTTTTTTGTTGAAAGATTATTCTGGATCACAAAAACTGTGTAAGAATTGTAAATTTATATATGCAAAAAAAACAAAATTTTTTGACTTATACAAAAAGCTCAACAACTTTTTTTTTTTTTGGAAAGTAAGAAAGTTGTGGTAAAAAACCTTTTTTCTTTTGAATTTAAAAAAGAATTGTACAAAGATTGTTCTGTTTTCTCTCTTTTTTCCTCCATAAGAATAAAAATCTTATAAAAAAATGAATTTGCTGAAACAGATAAGCGAGAAAAATGATCAAATTTCTAATTTTTTGTTTCTGTCAGATAAGCTGTAAAAAGTGTAGCAGAAAAGAGAGAAGAAACTGCAATTTGTTCTAATATTTCATATAATTTTTGCTTCATAAGTATAACTTATTTTTTTCTTGTCTTTCTGTATTTTTTGTAGCATAAATTATATTTGCAGGTAAAAAATTTATGAATTGGTTTTGTTGCTGATAATTCGCTAATCTGTTCAACCAGTTGACTTTGTCTATTGAACTGAACAACCTTTGTCTTTTCATATACATATTACCACTAAAAACAAGAAGAAAAAAATTGAAACAAACCGGAAGAAGAGTATTTATATTGATGGAGAAAAATAAAGGTTCAGTTTTTATTCCCTGATTTTTTTTTCTTTTTTTTTTTTGTATTTTACATAAATTTAAACTAAAAACATATGACAGATTAATACAACAATGAATGCCAACATCAAATTGTGTCTGTTGCGTCACCGATCAATCACTGATTTATTACAGTTTATTTTGTTAAGCCAATAAAACTTTTACTGTGTTCTGAATACAATACGAATAATCAAAAAACTATCAACTGAACATATATATATATATATAT